AAGACTTTGTCTTTTAGTCTCAAAAAATATAATTCAAAGTCTGACATGTAAAATAAAAAGCCTACAATCATTTGAATCAAGGTCCATCCAACTGTCCAATTGATCCAACGATCTCAAAACTAAGCCATGCATATAAAGACCTTCATACAGATTAAAAAAATATACACGCCTTACAACACTATTCATATATTCCAAAGAAAACAGTCATTAGATTGCATTTATATTATGGTGGTCTTACCACTCTTGTTTCTTTGGTCAGAACCTTGCTGGATTTCTTTATCAATGTCCTGTTTACAGCTAATACTCTTGTCTTTTCTGTCACTGTCCACCTGGACATTTTCAGCATCTTTCACTTTAGGGCAGGCAGATCCCTCTCTCGAAGCCCAGTCCTTCTGTTGAAGAGGCGGTTGAGTGGACTGAGTGTCAGTTCCTTCTACAAGACCTGAAACCCCCAAGAGAAGGACCCATTTTACTTCCATCAGAACACAACAGCAAAGATAACATCTGTCCCCAATCCCAAAACCTACAGTAAAAGGTTCAACATGTTACACAAACAAAAAAAAACAGAACTCAAGGTGTCCAATATCTCTGTGCCGCAAACAACAATAATACAGCGGTCTCACAGTTCTCAGCCACCCCACTATGAACTCCCTAGTTGTATGGAGATGGAGTTTCCTGCCTCTACTGCAGGTGGGTAAATTGAAGACTAGTGGAGGAAGACAGATTTTCTGGCAGATCTGCTGTCCCCCAGTCCTCATGTCTTTCAGATGTGCTGTCCGAACGGGCTGTAGTAGATGTTCTGTCAGCGCCCTCTGCTGGTTGTGAATAAATATGCACGCTTGTACCTTTACTCCAGATGTCACCCTAACTTAACAAACAGGCAACAACTAAAGCAAAGACGTTGTACCAGTCTTGGATTTCGGACTGGAGTCCCCCTGGCCCCTTTCACCACCTTTCTTTTCACGTAAGGCAGATGTCTGACAGGAAGAGTCCTCTTGAAGAGGCTTTTCAGTGGACTGATTGGCAGCATTTTCTGAAACACCTGAAAACCCCAAAACAAAGAAACATGTACTTTGATCCATCAAAATGACTAAATGCACCAGCACAGTGCCAAATGTGCCATTTTTGACTTCCACTCCTAAATCATCAAATAAAAAAGGTTGACAAATCAAGACAAATGAACAGAAATGAGTCACAGTGTCACAGCTCTCACCTTTTCTACTCGCATCACCCAGGCTGTCAGGTTCACAGATTTCTGTTCCCATCTCGGGAGCACTGGGGTTAACCTCAGGACACATGGAGGAAGACACCTGTCCTACAGTGGTCGTTGCTGCCTCTCGTCTCTCAGATCCCTCCGGTGTGTTACCCTGACAGTCTGCACTAGATTCTTCAATCCAAGAAAAAATAATACTATAGATCAAACAGTGCGTGTTACTCCTTTGTCTTTCAACACAAATAGAAAGAACATTTAATGATCTATGATCAGAAGCCAGAAATGTAATTTTCAGTACCGTTTCATTCACATATATCCCACTATTTGTTATAAATTAGCAGTGGGTTAATAAATGATTGAGATTTAGTCAAACTCATTAAGACCTCAAGTAGGATAAATTCTGGATCGGCTTCTAGCTCTACAGGAACAGGAGTGAGGATCACTGCTCTGGGCAGTAAATGTGGTACTCTTGACAAATACTATCCAATCTACTGTCTTCTTTCTCTCAATTCAGAATAATTATTTGGAAAAAGTAAGCACAAATTAAGGAAGTTCTACCAAGCTCGTGTTTGTGATTCTCTTGGTCTTTCTCAGGGGCTTCTGTCTCTGGTGAGCAGGAGGCTTTGGAACATAATTGTGTTTCTCCATCACTTGTTTCTTGTGAGATCTGCTCATCTGCCTTGTGTATCTGCTCATGATGAGGCTCTCCAGTGGACTGAGAGTCTTGTGCAGAATCCAAAGCTGAACAAAAGAGAAAACTACTTTGACTCACCAGGACCAGAAGTACAATAACAAAGAAGACATTGCGGGACATTTCTGAAATCTCT